ATACATACATATTTTTCCCCCCTGTTGGTACCAGGGATTGAACACAGGATCTTGCACTTGCCAGGCAGGCACTTAAGCAGATGAGCTACTCCTTGGCCCAAAATTGTAAACAATAAGGCATACAGCTTTTCTTTTCAGCCTGGATCGTATTATACCAAAAAATTTTCAAGGTTAAAAACTAATGTCTGGTGTAAAAGTCAGGACTGGTCATCATAATGTAAAGGCCTTGCAAGGCTGGCCAGGGGGACCCTGGGTGCTTGGAATGTTGTTTCCTTGCCTGGGTACCCAGGCATGTCCATGTTATGAAAGCACCTCACATGACCTAGTACCTTTCTGCGTGCTCTTCTAAAAAGTTTGCTTTAAAACGCTGGTGCTGAAAATGCGAGGACAATTATGTGTTGAGTGCAGACTTCTTTTTTTGGTACCAAGAATTGAATTCAGGACCTTGCACTTACTTACTAAGCAGGCACCATGCCGCTGGGCTGTATCCCCGGTCGAGATACAGCGAGTGTCGATTTCTTACCCTTCCTGATACTGTAGGCATCGCAGAATTGACAATTTTTTATGAAGTTGAACTCTTTGTTCTTTGTCAAAATTTGATTTTTAGGGGCTGGGGAGATGGCTCAGTGGAATAAGCGCTTCCCTGGCAAGCTCGAGGACCTGAGTTCAATTCTCGGTTCTGAAAAAAAAAAAAAAAAAAAAAAGATTTTTAAACCTTTCCATTAACTCAAATGTGGCCTTTTTTTGTGGCTGGGGGGTTTGTTTTGAGACAGTGTCTTGCTATGCTGCTGAGCCTGGGTGCAAGTGTCCCCCCACATCAGTTTCCCAAGGAGCTGTGCTTTTCAGACTGGTTGTTTACTGGCTTTTCTTCAGCAGTGGCACAAATGGATATATTCTATCTTCCACTGATGATTGGGATCATCAGCAAAGCACCGATTATTATCCTGTTATTAATTGAGGAAGCCCTTGGGAGTTTCTGAAGCAGGAAAGGTGCTTGCCCTGGACCCCGCCCCTGACGACTGTGGTTTTCAAGGCCCTGGGGTTTTTGATTTCTTTTACTTTCTTGTCACCTTGAGGTGCCTACCTCCAACACTGTCCCTGCATCATCCTACCTTATGCTTGATTCCCGCCAGTTCTAAGTTCTAGCTTATAATATTTTTTTGGCTTATAAATATTTATATTGCCCCAGACCTTAACATCTGTTAAATCTGTATAATGAGAACACGGGAATCTATCATATGATTATGGCTGAAAGAGTTTACCATATTTTTTTTTCACTAATGTTTTAAAGTTAAGCTAGGCATAATGGCACATGCCTGTAATCCCAGCATTCGGGAGGCTGAGGCAGGAAGATCACTACCAGTTTGAGGCAGCCTGAACCGCATAGTGAGACCATGTTTTAAAAACACACAAACAAACCCAAAAACACAACAAACAAACAGAAAACAGT